GCCTAAGCCTAGATGGTCCGATTATGTGCCCGACAGTCAAGATCCATATGATCTCTCTGAAGATTGAAGCCTTCCAAGTCAAAGATGCCTCTGCCAAAGTTAAATTAGCCGAAAGCAGAGTTAAAGTCCTTTCACCCATGTGAATGCAGATGCCTTTCTGTTTCTCCAGAGTTAAAGCAACGATGCCCATGCCTTTCAATTCAAAGATGCCCATGCCCTTCAATTCAAAGTAGCCGAAAGCAAAGATGCCCTGACAAAGTTCAAAGTTAAATGTTTTTCACTTCAGTCAAAGTAGAAGTTAATTCAAAAGTTATTTTGTCCTCTTTTGTATGCCAAGGCTTTAAATAGAAGCCTTCCGTCAGTTGTATCTCCAAGCTTTGTTTAGTAAGCATTGTAAGTTTCTTTCAGTTTTCAAAGTTCTCTCAGAGTTTGTAGACCTGAGGCGACTACCATAGTTGTAAGTGAGAGTGGAGTGTGAGTGTCCTGCGTGACATTGCTTGCTTTCATTGAACTAAGATTTCTGTAAGTTCTTACTTTGTTTTCAAAGCTTCCACAGTTAATAATATTTTCAATTAATATTATTTCCTGTGTTTATTTCATAGTCCTTCAAATTCTAATTTATGTTAATTCAATTATTTTCATTAATTTATATTCTCATTTTAATTAAATTCAGTGCTCTCATAATTTTTTATTTGTATAACTTATTCACCTACGTTAATTTTCTTTTGAGTTTATGATTAATTTATTAGTTTCAATTTGCATCCATTCAATAATTTATTTTATTCATTATTTCTCTATTTTTTATTTGTTAGTTGCCCAAGTCATCTACCAAGTCAATTATTTAGTCATACTCTCCATTCTCTTCCGTAGCTAACAATTCCATTTCTTCTTCCAAGTCTTCACTCCATTAAATACACATGCAAAGTTTTCATACACATGCAAAGTCTTCAAGTCTTTAAATACACATAAGCCAAATCCAACTCTAAGTCTTCCGTCCAACTCTAAGCCAAAGTTTCTTCTTCCATGTCTTCAAAGTCTTCAAATTATTAGTCTTCCAATTATTAAATATACAAACCAACTCTCTTAAGGTCAAGCTTCCAGACTAGTTATAAATTATAAGCCTCTTAATTCAGTTTTAGAATGGATTAGGTACCCAATCCCTAATAAAAGAGATTTAGTTAATAGATTAGGAAAAGCCGTTATCTTTAGTAAATTTGATATGAAAAGCGGTTTTTGGCAAATTCAAATTAAAGAATCAGATAGATATAAGACTGCATTTGTTACCCCTTTTGGTCATTATGAATGGAATGTTATGCCTTTTGGATTAAAAAATGCCCCTAGTGAATTCCAGAATATTATGAATGAAATCTTTAATGCTTACAGTCATTTTTCCATAGTATATATAGACGATGTTCTTATTTTCTCTGAGTCAATTGAGCAACATTGGAAGCATTTACATAAATTTCTTCAGATAGTCAAAACTAATGGTTTAGTTGTTTCAGCCAAGAAAATCAAGTTATTTCAGGTCAATGTCAGGTTTTTAGGTTTCAACATAAGCCAAAGTCATATAAGCCCAATCAATCGAGTCATCCAGTTTGCTGATAAATTTCCAGATCAAATTCTTGAAAAAAGCCAACTTCAAAGGTTTTTAGGGTCTTTAAATTATGTTTCTGATTTTTATCAAAATCTAAGAAAATTATGTAAGCCCCTGTTTGATCGTCTCCAGAGCAATCCTCCTGCCTGGACTCCAAGCCATACAGAAATAGTTAAGCAAATTAAGATTCATGTCAAATCTCTTCCATGCCTAGGTATTCCCTCAGTTCATGCTTTTAAAATTGTTGAAACAGATGCCTCTGAAACAGGTTATGGTGGTATTTTAAAACAAAGAATAAGCCCTGAGTCTCCTGAACAAATTGTTCGTTTTCATTCCGGAGTCTGGAGTCAAGCCCAAGTTAATTATAGTACTATTAAAAAAGAAATTTTATCTATTGTATTATGCATAAGCAAATTTCAAGATGATTTATTAAATCAAAAGTTTTTAGTTCGTGTTGATTGTAAGTCTGCAAAACATGTTTTAGAAAAAGATGTTAAAAATATAGCTAGTAAGCAGATTTTTGCACGATGGCAAGCAATTCTGAGTGTTTTTGATTTTTAGTTAGAATATTTGAGAGGTAGTGAAAACAGTATCCCTGATTTTCTTACAAGAGAATTTCTACAGGATAAACAGGCAGAGCCATGTCAAGCAAAGAAAAAGACAAGCAAAAAATGCAATACAGTCAGACAAGCCAACCAAGCCCAGGCCCAAGCCAAGCCAGAGTCCTTCCAGCTACCCTAATGCCTATGCCAGTCAAACAAGAAGCCAATGCCCAACTTGTGCCTTTTCCAGGTTATATGCCAATTCCAGTTAGGAATAGTTTTAGCCCTTTAAGCCAGCCTTCTCTACGCCCTAATTATCAGACAGCTTTAGTTTCCCAGTATGATCCTTTTATTGTTCATGCCCCTATGCCTTCCCAGTGTCAAAACCCAAGTCAAAGCCAAGCCCAAAGGTCTAAATATCATCCAAAAAGCAATTCTCATATTTTTATTGTTGAACCTTATCTAGAAGATTTGAATGACCCAGTTAAAATAGCTAAGAAGTTCTTTCCTCCCAACATGCATTATTTTCCAAGTCATCCTTCTAAGTCTTTGAAGTTTTATAGGGACATTCTTTATGAAACCCAATCAGCAGACATTAAGCCCATCAAGGACAAACAAACAGAAGCCACTATTTTCCATTCCATTTATATACGCCAAGTCATTAAGCCAGAACACTGGAGTAAAAATGCCTATGATCAAAAGCCACTTCAATCAGGCCTTACTTATAATTATGGAGACTACATTGATGCATGGTATACAATTTTCTTTCATCAATTTGAAGACTTCAGTCATTCATGGTTCATGAACTTCGATGCCAAATTCAAGCCCTATTTTCCTTACTGGTTTCTCCAATGGTGGAATATTAATGGTTCCTGTTGGGAAATCCTTCCAGAAGGTCTACGCCCCACATTTAATTATTTTTGTCAGAAGCACCAACTAACTAAGCAGGAGAAATTCTTCCCTATGCTTCTTCATTTCTTTGCCAAATATAAGATTCCATGGATTCTAAAATGGAGCTATCAGATTAATTGGGACACCAGATTTCTATGCCGTCATTACGTAGTCAAATGGTGGGACAAAGTCATTCTAAATAATATTATTAATCAAGTCCATGGAAGTTATCCACCTATCCAGATGCCAGTCGCTCAAGCCAAAGAAGCCTCTCCAAGCAGTTCAAATGCCTCCCTCAAAGGGAAATCTAAGAAAGAATTAACAGAATTAGCAGAGCAACTCCTTGCTCAAGTTTCTCAAATGAAGGATGAAGATGAAGACAATGCCAGTCCAAAGTCTGAATCTTCTTCAAGCCAGATGCCCAGTCAACAATTTAGTCAGAAGCCTAAGCCTAGATGGTCCGATTATGTGCCCGACAGTCAAGATCCATATGATCTCTCTGAAGATTGAAGCCTTCCAAGTCAAAGATGCCTCTGCCAAAGTTAAAGTAGCCGAAAGCAGAGTTAAAGTCCTTTCACCCATGTGAAAGTAGATGCCTTTCTGTTTCTCCAGAGTTAAAGCAAAGATGCCCATGCCTTTCAATTCAAAGATGCCCATGCCCTTCAATTCAAAGTAGCCTTTTCAGAGAATGCCTTTCAATTCAAAGATGCCCCGACAAAGTTTAAGTTAAATGTTTTTCACTTAAGTTAAAGTCAAAGTTAGTTCAAAAGTTATTTTGTCTTCTCTTGTAAGCCAAGGCTATAAGTTAGAAGTTTTCATTTCAGTTTTCGGCAAGCTTTGTTCAGTAAGCATTGTAAGTTTCTTCAGTTTTCAAAGTTCTCTCAGAGTTTGTAGACCTGAGGCAACTACAATAGTTGTGAGTGAGAGTGGAGTGTGAGTGTCCTGCGTGACATTGCTTGCTTTCATTGAACTAAGATTTCTGTAAGTTCTTACTTTGTTTTCAAAGCTTCCACAGTTAATAATATTTCCAATTAATATTATTTTCTGTGTTTATCTTTATAGTCTTTAAATTCTAATTTATGTTAGACCAATTATTTTCATTAATTTATATTCTTTATTTAATTAAACTTAGTGCTCTCATAATTTTTTATTTGTATAATTTATTCACCTATGTTAATTTTCTTTTAAGTCTATGATTAATTTATTAGTTTCAATTTGCATCCATTCATTAATTTATTTTATTCATTATTTCTCTATTTTTTATTTTTTAGTTGCCCAAGTCATCTTCCAAGTCAACTATTTTGTTATACTCTCTATTCTCTTCCGTAGCTAACAATTCCATTTCTTCTTCCATGTCTTCAAAGTCTTCAAATTATTAGTCTTCCAATTATTAAATATACAAACCAACTCTCTTAAAGTCAAGCTTCCATTTCTAACTAGTTAAAAATCCTTGCTTATTTTTACTATGAATTAACTTAACTGACTTGGAAATAGCTGACTTCTGTAATGACTTAATTTTCTTAAAGAAGAAATTAAGTTTAAAAGGGTAGAACAACAGTTAGCCGACAAGTCGCTTCAATTACAGATTAGTAAATTTGAAGATAAGTTAAAAAATGAAGTTTGTTCTGATATGCCCAATGCCTTTTGGCACCGTAAGCAACATGTCGTTTCTTTACCTTATGTCAAGTCATTTAGTGAAAAGAATATTCCTACCAAAGCCCGTCCAATTCAAATGAGCCTTGATGTAAAGCAGGGTTGAAATAAAAACACACTTAGGTTATGTTTTAGTATATGGATAATGGGCCCAAACCCATGAGAGAACCTTGTTAAAATATCAGCCCACAAGTGAAACACAGCATTTCACTAACCCTATCTTCACCCTCACTTATATCTCTCATCTCTCCGCCTCCATCGCCTCCCATCTCTCTCTGCCACTGGTTGCGCGCCTTTGAAATAAGATAAACCCAGCAGTAGCCAAAAAGAAAAGAAGAAAAATTCAAAAATACCTCTGACGAGTAGAGAAGAAGCCGTCGCTGCCACTGGTTGCGTCGAGAAGAGTAGAGAACCAGCCACCCGACCCGCCCAGCCAGCCTAGGCGAGCCCCCTGGCGCCGCCTAACTCCCTGGCGCCTACTCTAACGATTAGGATGAAATCGCGACGGTGTCCTCCCGCCTAGCACCTAGGCGCCGCCTAGGAGCCGCCTAGGCCGATTTTTCAAACACTAGGAAACAATGGCTAACAAGACCACAACTTGAATAGTTTCAAGGGATGAAAACATCAGTAGTTGATTGGATTTGAACCAGCAGAAACAAATGACTAGCAGTACACAAACAACATGATATTTCAGTTTTCCAATATTTGAACATTTACAGACTAAGTCTCATTCTTGCCCGAGTAATGATGACGGAAAACGCACGAGAAGTCTTCGGTTTCATGACCATCCTCACAAAGCTCTGTATATCTGCACAACACATCAGTTTAGTTTATGATAATTAGATATGAAAGTTATGCGAGCCACAGAAATGGGCTCAGAAAGAAAGAGGGAATGAATTACATCTCTTGTGCTTGGGATGTCAACGGGCATTTAAGGCCAACCTCTTTGGCTGATGTTGCACCAAGGTTTAGATCTTTAGCCTGCAATTTATAGAATACAATCATCAATTCTCATCTCAGTACACTAAATAATGTTTTTGAGGACTTGAAATTTCCTGTTAAGGCTCATAAGCAATGTGTTAAGGCCTGCAGAGACCAAAGAGAAAGAAAACTGCCCAATGGAGAGCATAACAAACAGAAATTGCACCATTAGAGCATGTTTGACAAACAGGATCAAACTAACTTACCATAAGTTTCGAAGCGAACCCACCATCATAGTTCCTCGACGAGGGCACCCCTTCCATCACTCCAGGCACTGGATTATAACTATCACTGTGATCATGCATGCCATGTTCTCAGTGTCAAGTGTATAATAAACCAATTGGAAACACAAACCTTACCCAAATATGAGCCAAAGCCCGAAGATATTCCCCATATATTTGTGTGTGCAGGTGTGTGTAGGGGCAAGATCAAATCAGCAGCGATGTAAAAACAGCAAGTAAATATTTTTGGTAGAATGAGAGTATGATCTTTTCTGTAACAGTGTAATTGAATTACACTATTGAAGATAGATTACAAGAGTAACCTTTATGTGACTACAAAAATGCAAAAGTTCCCTAAGCTACAATGTATGGTGTATTCAAACAATACCTACTCCAACAGCGACCACTGGAAGAGTTGAGTACTCTTGTCAAAGTACTGGCGGAAATTCCCAGAGACTGGCCAAGGGCAAGAGATTCTGAGACACCAAGCATACTAATAGCCATTGCCAAATTATTGCAGATCTTTGCTGCCTATATAGCAAACGTCTAAAGATGTCAAATACTCTGCAACAAATTCAGGTAGTAGCATGAAAATTCTCAGAAAGCTGAAGATATAGTATTTTTGGTGCAGTATAGACGTGAGAACTTACTGAACCATTTCCTGGTCCACCACAAAAAACTGTGTTCTTGCCCATTGAAAGGAATAAAGATTTTGCAGCTAGATAAGCTTCCTCAGAGCCACCAACCTGCAGACATGCTATCTCTTGATCATGATTTATGACTCACGAGTTAGATATCACCACCCTAGGTACAATTCCTCCTCACCCTCTAAAAGCATATATCCTGTTTATGTGCATATGATAACTAGGAATGGCAAGAAGAAAACAACACCTAGGAAATATACTGAACAGTAAATTAGTGTCTCTCATAAATGAAACTAGAAATCTAGATCAAGAAACTCAGCTTCTTTACTTCCATAAAGCCAAATAGGAAGGAGCCTTCTGTCAACCTTAGTTTAGCAACCCTTTAACAATTTAATACTGAAGAAAAACCCCAACTTAGGGATGCATGTTTTTCTCTCTTCGAGATAACTACATCAGACTTACATCTACTGACTTTGGATGTCAAAACTGAAATTATACCATGAAAGTAAGAGTCCCAGCTTCTGCAGCAAGAACACCTCCAGATACAGGAGCATCCAACATGGCAGGCTTCCTGGCATAATCTACACCAAATAAAATATAACAAATCAGTTAGCAGAAATTTCTTTAAATACTTTTTTTTAATAAATGAAGAGAAAAATTGCATTTTTCCACAACCTCAACCGTTTGATATTTAAAAAAATGTAATGGTAGATTGAGCAGAAACTGACAAACAGACAAATTAAATGACAGTCTGCTATTGTACCTCTTTTCTCCTTTAAAGTACAGTTAGACACAGCAAGAGAAAGCTTTCTCGATGTTTGCGGATCGATAGTAGATGAATCTATTAATAACCATGGTCGCAATTCCCCTCCATGAAGCAAGCCATTAGGTCCAGTATAAACATCATATACCTGCATTTGGGGTAAAAAAAGGTTCACATTGTACAGTTCATTTGGAAGAAGAAAACCTCAAAATTGAAAACTACAAACTGAATCTTCACATATCCTATAAATCTTTGGTGAAAGTTTTAGCAACAGTGAATTAAACTTTCCAGAATATAGAGCTTAATAAGTAAATGAATAAAACACAGATGAAAACATCAAAAGATGAATCCTTCGTGGCACTAAATTCAAGTTGGCTCTGACTATAGACTTAGTAAATAATGGAAGACAATGAAAATTTAATTTTTTCGAAAAATGGAATCTATATACCTATGAAGAGGATGACAAAAACTAAGAAACTCACATGAGATGAGGAAGGCAGCATTGTGATTACAACATCACTAGCTTCTGCAACTTCTAAAGGGGTTTCTTTTGTTGCAACTCCCATGTCAGAGAACTTCTTCATAGCATTGCAGTTTCTAAAATCAAAATAAAAAATCCGATGTGGCATCATTATTTTACATCAGATATGTACAGAGCAAACTTTTCAGGAACATAACTGCCTGATTCTAAATCACCATTAAAAACATGGTGATGCCCCTTTGTACATAAATAAGACTGGGATTAGCATTGCCTCAGATATTTGATACTTTTGATTACTCATCAGTAAAAGATATGTATAATTGAATGAGATCCAGAAAGTTTGTAAAAAAAGATAAAAATACATTACATGTCATGAACAGCTACTCGGTATCCAGCCTTAATTAGATTATTTGCCATTCTGGATCCCATATTTCCCAGTCCTACAAACCCAACACTCTGCAATTCATCATTCAGACAATATAAATGTACAGGACTCACAAAAATCCACTATAACAGTAGATATCTGCAAAATGTTTCTGTATTCTAAAAGAAGTGATAACCTGACATCAGAAACAAAAGCAATGAACAAGTCCATAAAATTTTCAAAAACCCAACTGAGAACTGGTGCAAACAGCTTAATTATGCAAATGTAAATTTAATTTAAAGAACAGAATTTTGTTTCATCAATTTTCTCACAGACCCAGTTGAGAATTAACATAACACAACTCCAAGCAGCCTGAATTAGTGGGGTTTCAGTTTTTCAACTTATATCAAACACTTTCAATTTTACATCAAATACTTCCTTTTCTGAGCTCTTCATCTTCCAAGGTAAAAGCATCTACCATACCAGTTCCACTTGAAGATGAGAAAAATCAGAGCTTTACCTCAAAATGAGACGTGGCTTGTTCTGAATAAAATCTGCGTATTGGAGACTGAAGATAAAGAGCGTTGATTGAGGAAAAGCATTTGGAAACATAATTCAGTGACCTCACTCTGTAGAAGATTGCCATGCTTAGCACTTGCAAACAATGACTGTGCTTAACAAATGAAATGATATAATAATAATACTAAAAACTACTATGTGTTGGTTTTGCTTGGAACGAAAAGACACTCGCAGAACAGAACACAAACATGGAATCTTTATCATTTCTTTATTTATTTCTTATCTTAAAATCCACGTCATAGTATTTTTGTATCTCATGAATCATCTTTATCCAGTTGACTTTTCCATCCAAATTATTCGCTCACACATGAAATTAACTGATAAGCACTTGGAATTAGCTTCTTCTTTTTTCTTTTTTTTCTTTTATTGGTTTACCTCTGTTTTTCAGAAAAAATGACCTGCACCTGCTTCAATAGTTCAGCAGAAAAAGAAAAACGTTAACCCTCAACCTTTTTTATACGTAGGACAATGTGGTAAAGCACAGGGCCATATTCAAAGAACACTGCTGCTTATGGTTTGCTTTAATAGTTTAAAGAATGGTATGCGATGATACTTCTTTTTTCAGTTACAGTATGCGATGATACTTTTTTTGGATGAGATCCAGGGTGTCCACCGCCGACAGTAGTGACTAATCCCTTTCGCCGCGGGAGCTCTTCAAAGGAGGTAAATAGCTGGCCACGAAATGCGCTTCATTCCCATGGGCGGAGATCGAACCCCCAACCACATGGTTAAGGAATGAGGTGAGCTACCACCACACCACACCACATCTCATGATTAGTATGCGATGATACTTTGTTAGCCTGTGAATCATGCTCGGAAATATACCATAACCATAGCACAAATTACAACTCTTTCCAAACCCGTTTGCAAGGCCACCCTCTCCTGTCACATTCTTCATTAGGCCCTTGCAAAGGGATGGTGTGGCTCGTCATGGAAGTGGAACAAAGTCTAAAAACAAAAATTGCATCCTTTGAAATATGCTCCATTTACACAATGGTTAATTAGCTGATCACACTAGAACACCAAAAGATACAAAAGGGAGGCCAATGAGATATTAAATTCCCTCCCAGAAAGGAAAAAGTTCAAATAAGTTAATTCAAAACCCAACTATATGGAGGAGAGATCCTCATATATAGTCTTAATACCTGGCCTCTCAGAAACAGACCGTATACATCGTAAAGATATACCAAGGACCTCCTTCATTCCCTTCTCTGCTGCTGGCATTCCCATATCTGGCACCAATGTAGCATCAAAACAATCAGAGCCACGGCCTTCTGCTACCCTCAACCGAACCCAATCTGTCAAATCAACCCCACCTGCTTCACCTGAAATCACATCGCCAGCACACCTTCCAGTTAAAAGTTCCAACAGTATCACTCCAAAGGCATAAACATCAGACTTAAAGGAGGGAAGTGGCTTCTTGGAAGAAGCCAACTCTGGTGCACGGTAACCTAGCACACCAGCATCAAGAATCTGTTCAATGGTGCCAGCTTGGGTCATGAGGCGGTGGAGGCAGTAATCAGCAACACGGGCATTCAGGTCAGGCCCGTCCAACAAAATATTTGTTGCTTTAAGGTTACCATGCGGAACAGCACGATCAAAATGGAGATAGTTCAGGCCACGTGCAACATCAACTGCAATTTTGAGCCGTTGGACCCAGGTCAATGGAGGGCCCTTTCTTCCTGGCCGGTCTGAGAATAATTTAGGCTCATCAGAAATGCAAAGTGAAGGTTACACATATATGAACGCACACACAGATACATACTTTATATATATACACACACATATGTACATATGTCGAGAGAGAGAGAGAGAGATGAATGAAGTAGGGCAAAAGAATTTTCTTCAACAATCAAAAGAGAGGATAAAGATCATAATACAAGTCATGCATTATATTTCCCCAGTTTCATATTGATGAGTAACAAAAGATAAAAGCAAGATAAATAGGTTGAAGAGACTAACAGAAAACAGCTTACCGTAAAGAAAGCTTGCAAGACTTCCAGGTGAGATATAATCTGAAAGAATGAGCTTCTCATGCTGTGTGGGGCCCCAATAGTACCCTCTCAAACCTACAACATTTGGATGCCTCATGTTTGCAAATTTTTTAGCCTCCTTCGCAAACTCCTTTTTCTGTTTTGCCACCCCTTCTCTCAACCACTTAACTGTCAAGAACAGCCCATTATCAAGTGTTGCCTTATAAGAAGTCCCATGGCTACTTCTCCCCAGAACTTCAGCGGGGGCCCTTGACAGCTCCTCAGGGGTTAATGCAATTGTATCATCAAGAAAATGCAGCTCACCAACCAATCTATCCGGCGACCTCACATCCAGTCTTGCAAGGTTTTCTGCAGTGAATGACTCTCCAGATTCTGGTGACCAAGAATAATGGCTGTGCTTTGCAGGGGAGAAGCCAGTTACAGCCGCAACTTTTTCGTCAGGGCTGACAATTTCAGATGATGATCCTTTTTGTGAAGCCACAAGATCCTCAGCTGAAACAACCAAACCACCACCATTGTCTGTTCCACGTACACCAGATGGGTTTGGTGGAGAGCGTCTGTGGTTGTCTTTGGTTGTAGTATGCTCCGATGGGATTCTTCTTGACATGCGAATGTAGTGTATGAAGATAGCAAGCAAAAGAAGAATGAAGACAGCAACCACACATGAAACTATAATAATTACTTTGACAATTGTATTGATTGGTTTCCTCTTCGAATTTTCAGTTGGGGAACTGGTCGATCCAGGAGGACCATTTGGAAAATGCAAACGTGTATTCCCCGGATGGAAGGAAGAACTTGGAAACTTTTTCAAATTGTCTGGGACATCTCCAGAAAGATCATTGTATGAAGCATTAAAGCTTTCAAGACTGTTAGGCAAGTTATTTGGCAAAGGACCTGTAAAATGATTCTGCGATATGTCTAATGAGCTTAATGTGGTCATGTCAGTGATGGAAGTCGGCAGAGAGCCAGAAAAATTATTTCTCGCCATATTAAGCACTTTAAGTCCCTTCAATGAACCAAAATGATCAGGGAAATAGCCACTAAGCTGGTTCTGAGAAAGATCAAGAACCTGAAGATTTGACTCACTTGACAATGGAGATGAAATGTTAATAGAGCCAGTGAGTAAATTATTATGAAGGTGGAGTTCTTGCAAAGTGGGCATTGCTAGCAACTCAGCTAGAACGGTTCCATCTAACTGATTAGAACTGAGATCTAGGACACTAATCTTCGGATACTGTGTTATAACACTTGCTATGGAACTACTAAGAGCGTTATGGGAGAGATTGAGATAATTTAAACGCAGAAATTGCGGGGTCACATCAGGAATGGGCCCTGTCAAATGATTTTGACTCAGATCAAGAAATTCAATGTTCCCCCATTTCACCATCCTGGTTAAGTTTCCTTCGAATTTGTTATCTGATAGATCAAGTACAGCACAACTTCCAGTCAGCAATGGCAACTCACCAGTAAGCCCATTTGAGGAGAGATTGAGGATTCGCAGATTTGTTGATGTAATCATATTTATTGGTCCTGAGAGATGAACTTCAATGAGAGAGGCATGCTAACACACTAAGCACAAATGACTAAAGTAAAAGAAGCACAAAGACAGTTTCGCAAGTAAATAAACCAAGGCAAAATGTAGTAAGTAAAAGTACCTGAGAGATTGTTGCCACTCAAATCTAGTTCACTTAAAACTAGAGAATCTCCTTTTAATACACCATTAGGAATATCTCCAGTAAATCTGTTGTTGCTGAGTTTGAGGACTTGGAGGTCATAGACAAAATTAAATCCAGGCAATTCCCCTGACAGCTGGTTGTAGCTGAGATCCAACACCTTCAAGTTTTCAAACATCTGTAGCTCACCCCCACTTACCAGTGACCCAGTGAGCTGGTTGTGGCTAAGATTCAAGTACTTAATAGTCTCAGAAAGAGGAGGTAGAAATTTCTGCTGCTGTGAACTGGAACTAGAAAACATATTGCCACTAAAATCCACATGAGTGGCACTTGATAGCATAAAAAATCCCACATCGATATGACCATCGAGCATATTCCCATGCAAGTCAAGCACATCAAGACTTGAAATTAGTTCAAACCCCTTAGGTATTCTCTTGGTAAATTCATTTAAAGACAGATTTAGAGATACCAGATTAGACAGCTTTGTCAACGATGTCGGAAGTGGGCCGGACAAGGAGTTGCGACTCAAGTCCAATGACTGGACTGAGGAAAGCCCTGAAATCGAATCTGGAATAGAGCCCGAGAAGTTATTACCACCTAATGAGAGGTTCCTTAAGCTCCCTAACCTACTAATTCCGGGTGGTAAAGATGAAGAAAATAAATTATTGGAGAGATCAAGAAACTCAAGGCTTTTGAAGTCGGCTATGTTGTCGGGAATCTTCCCCATTATCGTATTATTGGCCATGGAAAGTTTCACCAGCTTCGTTAGATTCGAAAACACGCTCAAGTCCACATCCGCGGAGAGACTCAAATTATCAAGGACAACTCCAGCAACATTTCCACCATTACATACGACTCCATTCCAAGAAGAAGGACAGCCATCAAAGTCAATGGACTCATCATTCCAAGAATTGAGGACATAACCAGTGGGATCATGCTTGATACCCTTCTTGAACTGAAGCAGAGCCAAAATATCTTGTGAAGGAAGCTGCCCCATGGCAGAAATAAGAAGAAGGGACAGCACTAATAGCCGACGGAGCATAGTTGGCCTATCAATGGCTTCACCCAATGGAAACAAAAGCTCGATGTTAGAACAAAAATGAAACTTTAAGCTCTATAACCAACAAATTCAAGCAGGCACGACAATATTCCCAGGGCCAACTACGGTATGATACAGAACCCTGCAATGCTTCCTTTAATTTCAAGATAATGAGAAATAGCTATCTATGTTCTGAAGGAAAGGGGTATTTCGAGCTCACAAATCCACTGAGTGAAAGAAACCCAACTAATTTGCTAACTATTTTGCAATAAAACAATGGTCATGCCACACCCATCAATGAACACCATGAGTGATCAACAGTTCAGAAAGCAAACAATGAGTTGGAATCACACATGCAACCAGAACCCAATATTTTATCAAAATAACACCTTTTCCTAAGAACGAACCAAATCTTTAAAGTTCAGAGCTTCAAGAACCGATTCTCCTCTCTGAAGAAAAACAAAAATGATTTCAAC